CCAACTGTCCCGTCATGTCCCAACTGTCTCCACATGTCCCAACTGTCTCCACATGTCCCAACTGTTTTCCAGATGTTTTTTTCATTTATTACCATAAACTCATCTTTTCCATTTGAAAGTTTCCAACTTTAAAGTCTTTTATTTGTTTAACCCTCACTGGTTCCACACACGTCTGCACTGGTTCTGAATTTTGAACCCAAAGACGTTTTTTCAAAATAAAAGTCTACTTGTGTTGCTGCTGTCCGAGGCCGTCTCACCTGTAGGACTGAAGGATGTCGATGATTCCTAAAAAGATGAGCAGGTTCTCATCCTTGTGTTTGGCAGGAATTCCTCCAAGTCTGAAGAGAGAAACACAAACTGCGTTTAAATCAAACTTTAGGGCTTTTAGTTTGAAGTGATAAAGATGTTTATTAATTCTGAACAATAAAGATGTGGAAATTTGCTTCAACAGAAACAACAATTTACATCATGAAAACTTGAATTGTTTTTTTTTAAATACTATAATTGTATTCACTCTATTTTAAATGATCAAATCTGGTATTTGCATATTTTAAAGTAAAAGAAAAAAAAATAAAAGTTAAAACTGGTGTCCAAAGCCTTTTTTCTTACGTGTCGTCATCGGCCACTGGTTCTGGATCCTTGACGCTCCCCTGGATGGACTCGAGGGCGGTGGAGTAGAGGACTTTCTGTCCCCTCCGGCTGTCGCATCGGCTTCCCCGGCTCAGAGGCTTCCTGTCCAACACGTGGATCCCCAGCAGCAGACTGTAGTCCATGATCTTAAAGCTTTCTAGAACCTGACGAGACACAAAACAAACGTCAGCAGCTGCTTTAAGACACTAAACATCTAAAACTCAAATCATCTGTTGCAGTACTGAACGTTTTTTGTTTGCTTTGCAATTTTAACAGAAAACTTTTATTTTTTTTTAATTCTCCCATGAATCTGAGAACGACGTTAAATGGAGCTGTGGAACATCTTTGGTGAACATCAGCTGGTCAGCAGTGAAGGATAAAGCTGAAACGTTGCTTAAAGGAACAGTGACGCCAAAAAAGACTTTCTCATGAAAAGTCAACACCAAAATACACGTTCGCTCAGAATATAACAAAGATTAAAGGGGAGTGGAAGCGCAGAGGTTGGAGAAGGTGAGCCTGTGATCAGAAGGTCGCCGGTTCAACTCCCTGGACCGACAAAAGATGGGAAAGGCGAAACACCCACACCTGCCTCCACCCTAATTTGCCCCACTCTGTGCCCTTGAGCAAGGTCGTTAACCCCCACATCTGCTCCCCCAGCTCCACGCAGAGTAGAGCTGTCATTTCTAACCGAACCCGGAGCTCGGCCTGGCTCTAACCAGGTCGGGCCAGGCCTTAATAATGTGCTTAATGTGCGGGCTGGGCTGGTGTCAGGCGCGCGTGGCTGACGATTCAATTATATGACAACATGGCTTGCCATACAATCACTTGCTGCACGCGGCCGTTTGACCGTGCGCTGACCGGCCTCGAAAGAGTTTTTAAAAAAAGAAAAAAGTTAATTCAAAGTAAAGAAAGACATTCAAACAAATGAGACATCTGTTCTTTCCTTTAGAAGGTGGTGGTGTAATTTAAAAAAGATTCAGCTGCACTCAGCGGACGTGCACGGCCGATGACCCAAACAGGTGAGATCACAAAATATCCGACATGTCAGAGCAGGGTCCAAGTCTGAATAATGCAGAATAATAATGACGTTCTAGAATCGCGCCGCTCGGGGTGGCTGCATGTTGGAGCAGCTCTGTTACTTTCATTCTGGGATATCGCTTTTGGAAACTTCAGTTCCTCTTTATCTGGATGTAAATCACTTTTTTTCGAATGATTGTTTCCTCTGGTATCAGATGCTGTGCACTTGTTATGATGCGTAACCATGGCAACGAGGTTTTAACATCCAGGAGCAGCTGAATAGCATCTCAAAAGCTCAATAATACCTCAGCTACAGCCCCAAATCCCAAATGAGTTGAAAAGGAGGCACCGTGGACGAATTCCCGTCAACCTGGCAGCGGTGCTCGAGTGCCTGACCGCCGAGATCCTGGAGCTGGTGGGAAACTCGGCTTGTGGCAACAGGAGGAGGACTGAGATCATCCTCCGGCACCTTCAGCTGCCTGTCCGACTGCTGAGAGGAGTGCCCATCGCTCAAATAGGAATTCTGCCCGGCATTCAGGCAGTCCTGCTGCCCAGGAGGACCGAGAGGCCAACCAGGTCTGACAGCAAGCTGGATCCGGGTGGACAGATCAGTATCTATGTCCAAATTCTTCTGATTCGCTGCAGGATCTCCTTCCTGCCCACAGCTATCAGCTTCTATAACAACTCTTGAATGAAACCAGGACGATGAGCTACGACAACACTCAATTTCCCTTTGGGATTAATAAAGCATTTTTGAACTGAACTGAACTGAACTGAATTGAACTGAACTGAATTGAACTGAATTGAACTGAACTGAATTGAATGCAGGCAGGAGCAGGGTTTTAATGTGCTTTAATGTGCTGAAAGGACAATCAGCTCTGATCTTCTGTCCCCTCAGCCACATGCGTCCACCGACTGTTAATAACTATATAAGCAGTCAAAGCCTAATTAAAGATGTTGCGGGGGGGGGGGGGGGGGGTTGGGTTCAGACCTGTAATTACTGTTAATTCGTCGGGTCGGGTGGGATTCAGAATTAATGGCTACGGGCTGGGGCCGGTGTTGCACCATATTCTGTGACCACCGTATATTGTGACCGTAGGGGGCGCTGTTGCATTTTTACACCGTACGTTGCAATATCTGATAAACGCCATCATATTGTGTGACCGTTTATATTTTCATAATACTCGTGATATTAGTGGTCAGATGTTGCTTTTTATTCCTTAGAGGAAGTGGAGAGTCAGCAGAACCAGTTTGGAGAAAAAAGAAGTTTGTGTACGTCTCCAGTTTGATCAGGATTAGTTCCTGCTATCTGCACGGTGACGACTTCAGTGAAGCTGACTAAAACAAACTTTTGAGCAGAGTCACATGACTCTTAACCTGAAGGTTTCATCAAACTAAATGCATCACGTGTGGCCCGACGACAACAGAACGACAACAGATAGCAGAGAATGAACCTACATGTTGGTTTATTGACAGTGTCCATCAGTATTTACAGTAAATACATTACTGGACAACAGCTGCTGCTTCCTTTCAGCAGCTTCTCGTACTCGACGCCCAACTCACAGAGAAATTGTTTCAGTCTGTTCTTGGTTCAATCAACTTGTTCTGGGTCCAATCACTCACCACGGGGTTTAACTCCTTGCTCCTTGCTGTCCCAAGTTAAGCCGATGACTCGAGCCCTGATAACATTATGTAACCACAGCGCGCCGCTGCACCGAGCAGCGCTCAACTTCTGGCTGTTTCGATGACCGCGTCGTGTTCAAGCAGCGTGAAACGACAGCGGCCGCTGAATTCAGGATTAGCAGGCAGCAAATCGAAGCGCCTGACACCAGATCAGGCTGAGCAGCTGAGGGAACAGCCAGGCCCGTCTGAGCCGCTGCAGAACCTCGGTCTGTGTGTTAGGTAACCAGGGGCACTAGGAGCCTCTTTGTTTCAGGACATCAGACTTTGGTTTGCAGGAAAAGGTTTAATCTCTAAACTTTTAACCCGACTCAGGCGTGTGAAAGAACACGTCGCTGCTTTCTAAGAGGAGTGAAATCTAAAAAGTGAGATGTTGGTGTCGACTTGCCCGGCAGTCCCTCTGCAGCGTCTTCATCAGGGCGTTGTAGGTGTCGGGGTCGAAGAACAGCCCCTCGTGTATGTCCTGGAAGTCCAGGTCTTTGAAGGTGGGCGAGGCCTTGGCGCGCTCCTTGTGCGAGGCGCGCCGTTTGTACGAGGAGCCTTTCAGGTCGTACTTGTAGTGCATGTTCATGGCGCGCGGCAGAACGTTGTTCATGACCACCACGCGCACCGTCACGCTGCCGCACTGGATGCAGTACAGGCCGTAGAACTTGGGCAGCAGCGTCCGCGGGTTCTGGTTCAGGTTCTGTAACAACCGGAGGGAGATGGAGATGAAGACGAGTTCTACGTGCAGCTGATAGTTGAACAAAACTGGAACGTTTCTGGAAATAAACCTGACGACTGTTGACACAGTCAATGTAAAGAAATAATAAAAATCTATCAAAGGAAAAAATACAAACACTTAAGCTGCTGCCAGTGGACCAATGTGGTTACCATGGTAACCACATTGGTAACCACCTGGTAACCACACACCAGTGTCTAATGACAGGCAGACAAAAACAGCCGATTGAAAAGTAATCCTGAAATAAAGAGCAAAAACAACTCAAACAAACAGATGATACAATTAGCAAGATAGTAGCTAAATGTGGCGAAACAAACAACAGCTAAAAGTAAAGGTAAGAAAATGGTAAACAAAAGTGGCTCAACTATAGCTAAAAACTGTTGAACTGTTGCTAAAACCTCAAAAAATTAAATATAAAAAAGCCAGAGCAGTACCTAAAAGAAGCAGAATGGTAGCTACAAGCTAATAGTAGCCGAACAGTAGCTAAAACAAAGCAATTCCCTAAAATAAGCGTAAAAA